TGTCACAGGATCGATCCACTCACCAAATCTAGGGGAACCACTAGGAGGAGCAACTAGTGATCCATTTGTCACGGGATGGATTTACTGTAGGTCGATTTGTCAGGGGATCGATCCTCTCACTCAGTCACTAGTGGTTGCCTAGGTGCTCTCCCTCAAACCGGAGTTTGAGCGGCTTAATCACAACCAACCTAGATGCAAACTGGTAATCGTGAACCGCAGAGGGATGCATATATGGTCGGAGACCACAATCTCAATTGCTAGACCGAGGTAAGCATGAAAGCCCATGTCACTTGACCCTTTCAGTTTAGACAATCGGTAGTTGACTTACTCCCTCACTCAACTCTAAGGTCGGACGGCTTAATTGCGATTAACCGACTTGCTTAACTCAATATTGAGGGTTGCCCTAACTTAACCTAGTTTAGGTGGCTTAGAAAGCGGAAGGAAAACCAACTCGGTTGAGTCTACCTTGGAAGGGGGGTTTTCCTCTCTAAGCTAGGCTAAGGTGGCTAATTAGATTCCTAGCACCAACATGTACAAACCTAAGGGTGCTAAGAACAATTATGCACAGCCCATAGATTGCTAAGCACGAGCATGCACAATCACCATAAAAGCACCTCTAATACTCAAATTGATGCAAACCCACACTTAATCATTCAATCTAAACAAGTAATTACAAAGTATTAGTTAGGGATATACAACACCCAAGAGAAAAGAAAGAGTTTCAAGAGAGAGAGAGAGGGATTGCAGATTTGAGCTCAAGATCTTCTTCTTCTAGGCTTGAATCTTCCACCCAAGCCTCCAATGATGCTCCAAGATCACTCTAGCACTCTCTCTCTCTCTCACTAGAACTCCCCTTTGGTGTTTAGGTTGAAACCCTAGAGAAAGAAAGTGTCTCCTCTCTAAAAACCAACTCTCTCTTTCTCTCCCCCCGATGTTGTCTTCATATTTGCCCGAAAGTGACCAGTTCATGGAGGCGTTGGCCAGTTCATGACCGTGAACACCTAAACGCGTCCGTGAACTCAGTGTCGTCCTAAAACGCGTTGTTTCACTCTGATGGGTTCACGGTCAATGGCCCCAGTTCACGATCTTAGAGACCGTGAACTGCCTTGTCGTCAGTAACTGCTCGAACCTTGCTGGACTTCTCGATGTTCACGATTTGTTATCCATTTTCACGGTCTTAGGAGACCGTGAACTTCCTTATCTGGCCCTAAACTTCGGCTGTTTCCTGGGACGATCAAATATACCAAAACTCGTCTTCGACCCTTCCACACGTGCTAGGACCTGAGTATCAAAACAAGCACAACCTAGCGTGAAATATGTCGAGGAACAATCAAATACTAAGCTAAACGAATAAGAAATGAGGGGTAAAATGTGTGCGTTTAAGCCCGAATCAACGAGTACATCCGATACTTGGTGAAACACCCGGATTTTGGCGACAAGTTTGCCTACCAGAGTGGCAGCCAGATTTGGGCCTCATTGGCAGCTGAACTTGGACATGTCTACTTTTTAAGGTGCCGAGCCGCGATGACCGGCGTGCTCTGTCACCCCCAATGGCGTCAGCTCTTGATGATGGATGAGGAGATCTACCACAAGCCTTGTGTGGAGTTCTACTCCACCTTCTCCCACATCGTCCCGGCCAGCAAGAAGAGCCGACCGAGGGTGGGGTTCATGCTGGGAGGTTAGCCACGAGTGCTGACCTACAAAGCCTTTGCTCAGGCGATGGGGCTCGAACCCACTCACATGAAGATGATGGAGCAATAGTACTGATGAGGTCATCAAAGCCAAACACACTCAAGTTGAAGGGCCCATGACTCGAGCGAGGGCTAAGGCTTTTCGGGATCAAATTGCAAGCTATTTGGCTAAGGAGTTGGAGGGCTTAAGCTTGGATTTGCTAGAAGGAAAGTCCATCACACTATTGAGCTATGTGGATCACGAAATTGGGCTCAAAGGGAGGGAAGGAGGGTCGGCCATGGAGAAGGAGTCTCAAGGTGTGAATGGAATCAACAATGGATAAAGATCATGATGGTGTGAACACAAGGTGTGAAAGGAATTTCAAGTGTGAACACAAGGGGGGTCGGATTTGAAGGCTAGATTCAAGGGTAGTTGTTGACTTAGTCTTTTCCTTGTTTGTTAAGGTTTTTGTTTTCCTTGTTTGTTAAGGTTTTGGTTTTCGTTTTTCAAGTAGGATTTGGTTTTCCTTAGTTGTTTTGTGTTTAGATTCGTGGGTCTATAAATAGGAGTCCAACCAATGTATTTATCATTCAAGTTTCAGCAATCAAATACAAGTGTTTACAAGTTCAAGTGAACGTTTTGCTTATTCGCTCCTTTGAGGATTCGGGAGGTTTGAGTGGTCTCTTATCAACTAGAGAACGCGTCTAGTTGTGGCGAGCATCGACGATATCGATTGGCCTCTTCCACGGGTTCGAGATTGTTTGGAAGGTTTCATATACCTTCTGGTCCTTCTCACGAGTTCGGATCTGTTTGATCGATTTCCGCAACTATCCTTTATTTTCGTGTCATTGAAGAAAGAAGAAAACCCCAAAAGAGTTCGGCGTTGCGCAATTCTGATTTTTGGTCCAAGTTTGGGTGGATTCTCGAATTAGGATCATATCAAGTGGTATCAAGAGCCTGGTTCAAACGCAGCGGAGAAGACAAAGATTCTTGGTAGTTCGGGAAGCATTCTTGGAAATCTTGAACGTCAAGAAAGCAAATCTTGAACGCTCTTGAGAGTTTCTTGTGTGGCAAAAAAGGTATCTTGAAGACAAAGCATTCGTGGGGTTCTTCTTTAGCAAGAAACCATGGCAGAACAAGCTCAAGATGTGGCGACACAACTTCAGCAACTCGCTGCACAACTAGCTACGGTACTTCAAGAACAAAGGGAGACAAGGGCACAAGTCGAGGCATTGCAAAGACGTGATCAAGAGCTGCCTCAACAACAAGAACAAGAGCCACCCCAAGGCGAGTTTGCAAACCCTAACAATAGGGAACGACGAGAAGAAAGGAGATTTATTCGAGCTGTTCAACGTCCAATGTTTGAGAATGTTCGTCGACATAGGCCATTGGGAGGGCATCGTGGTGCAAGGAGAGACTTCCCCTTCTATGACGAGGAAGGGTATGAAGAATACGAGTATGATGGAGGTGCTTACCGAGATGATGATGATCTAAGAGGATTGAAGATAACCGTACCATCTTTCAAAGGGACAATTGATCCAGAAGCTTATCTCGATTGGGAACGCAAGATGGAGCTGATTTTTGATAATCAAAACTACTCAGAGAAGAGGAAGGTGGCGATGGCTACCATTGAGTTTACGGATTATGCCCTAGCGTGGTGGGATCAATTGAGCACGAAGAGAAGAAGAGATAGGCGCAGGCCTATTGAAACATGGGATGAGTTGAAGGCAATCATGAGAGATCGATTTGTTCCAGCCTATCATCAACGGGAAATGCACCAAGCATTACAACTTCTTCGACAAGGCAACAAGAGTGTTGAGGATTACTATCGAGAGATGGAGTTGTTAATGATTCGAGCTGATGTTCGTGAAGATAGGGAAGCTACCATAGCTCGATTTCTACATGGTCTTAATCGAGAGATTCGTAATGTCGTGGAAATTCAACAATTTGTGGAGGTAGAAGACTTGGTGGCTATTTGCAGCAAGGTGGAAAGGCAACAGAAGAATAGGAGGTTTCTACCCTCTACAAGTACTACAAGGCCTACACCAACACCTACAACTAACCCTAGGCCGAGTGTTCCTACAAGAGAAGCACCAAAACTCGGGCCAAAGGTGGAGACTCCAAACCCTAGCACCAAACAGGGTTCATCTTTCGGTGGAATTCAATGTTTCAAGTGCCATGGACGAGGGCATATGGCAAACCAATGCCCAAACAAAAGAGCATTGATCTTATTGGAGAATGGTGAATATGTATCCGATGGAGAGGAAGAGGAAGCACTAGAAGAGAAGGGTACATCAGATTCTGAGGTAGATGAGACCCTTGAGATGGAGACACCCCCAGGCAGATTATGTGTAGCTCGAAGGGTATTGAGCATCCAACCAAAGGAGGAGCTTGAGCAACGGGAGAACCTCTTCCATACGAGGTGTGTAGTGGATGGGAAGACCCTTTCGGTAGTGATTGATGGAGGGAGCTGCACCAATGTGGTTAGTGCTAGTTGTGTGAAGAAGTTGGGGTTGAAAACAATGATTCATCCAAAACCCTACACTCTTCAATGGCTCAATGAAGATGGGTCAATCAAAGTGGCTAAACAAGCCTTATTGAAGTTCTCCATTGACAAATACAAGGATGAGGTAACGTGTGATGTGGTGCCAATGCAAGCGGCTCATGTTCTCTTTGGGAGGCCGTGGCAGTTTGATCGAAGTGCTCAACATGACGGCGTCACCAACAAATACACGTTAAAGCACCAAGGTAAGAAGATAGTATTGAAGCCTCTATCTCCTAGAGAAGTGTATGAAGATCAATTACAAATGCAACAAATTCGAGAGGAAGAGAAGAAGGCTCAATCCGCAAGGGGTGCAAAGAAGGGTTCGAGTAGCTTGGAGTCCAAGGCATTGATGCTAGCTCGACAAGGAGACATGAAGCAAGCCCTCTATGATCGAGTTCCTATGATTATTGTCCTATACAAGGGATTGCTACTCAACCAATAGCTGATTCAAGAGGTACCACCTAAGCCACGAGTGGTACTAGAAGAGTTTAAGGATGTCTTTCCCGAAGAAGCACCAAAGGGATTACCTCCAATCCGCGGGATAGAGCATCAAATTGACTTCGTTCCTGGGGCTACCATTCCAAACAAGGCAGCCTATAGGATGAATCCAGAGGAGACAAAGGAGTTGCAAAGGCAAATTGATGAGCTTATGGAGAAAGGACATGTTCGTGAGAGCATGAGTCCTTGTGCAGTTCCTGTCATCCTCGTGCCTAAGAAAGACCATACGTGGAGGATGTGTGTTGATTGCCGAGCAGTCAACCAAATAACCGTTAAGTATCGTCATCCTATTCCTCGATTAGATGACATGCTTGATGCAAGAGAAGAGGCCCATTGCATATTTCAGCGAGAAGTTGAGCGGAGCTACGCTTAATTACCCGACTTATGATAAAGAGCTTTATGCGCTTGTTCGAGCTTTGGAGACTTGGCAACACTACTTGTGGCCAAAGGAATTCGTCATACATACTGATCATGAGTCTCTCAAGTATTTGAAGGCCCAACACAAGTTGAACAAGAGGCATGCTCGTTGGGTGGAGTTCATTGAATCATTCCCTTATGTGATCAAGTACAAGCAAGGCAAGGAGAACATAGTTGCTGATGCATTATCGCGAAGATACACGTCGATCACTACCATGGATGCAAGATACCTTGGATTCGAGCAAATCAAGAGCATCTATGAGGAGGATTCTGATTTTCGAGAGATTTACAAGCTTTGTGAGAAGCATGGAGAAGGGAAGTACTATCGACATGAGGGCTACTTGTTTCGTGGTAATCAACTTTGCATACCACGTACTTCACTTCGAGAATTGATACTACGAGAAGCTCATGGAGGAGGATTGATGGCACACTTTGGTGTAGCCAAGACTTTGAGTTGCTTACAAGAGCATTTCTATTGGCCACATATGAAAAGAGATGTGGAGAGCTTATGTGCTAGATGTGTAGAGTGCAAGCAAGCTAAATCGAAGGTGCAATCGTCTGGATTGTACACTCCACTACCCATTCCCTCATTACCGTGGGTTGATATATCTATGGACTTCGTATTGGGGCTTCCAAGGACAAAGAGAGGTCGAGATTCTATCTTTGTGGTGGTGGATCGATTCTCAAAGATGGTACATTTCATTCCATGCCATAAAACTGACGATGCGGTTAATGTGGCGGATCTGTTCTTCAAAGAGGTGGTGTGCGAGGCGACATACCTCATCCCGAGAACGTGGTGGTTCCACTCTTGGTGGCATCATGTTCCAAAACATGATATATCTGCAACGTCAAGCTAGTGACGTCGGCAGGCAACCCAACAGAGATTTGTTTTCTTTTCCTTATTTTCGTTTTTGTGAGTCAAGTGAAGAGTTCTAATGGTCGAGTGGTATCCCCGTGCCACGTTTTGTGATTGTGAATTTTGAGGTTGTGTCGTGATCAATCGAAGGCACGGTGGAATAGGTCGAGTCAAAAAAATTCAGAAGTGTCCTGTTTTCACTAGTGTTCACGGACGGATTGCCAAGTTCATGGTCTTACAAGACCGTGAACAGGCCAGCGCATCCGTGAACCAGGCACTTCCACGTGTGTAACACTTGTTGACCATCCCCAGTTCACGGACAAATTGCAGAGTTTGCGGTCTCTAAGACCATGAACTAGCAAACGTGTCCGTGAACTGCGAACCTCGCCTATAAAAGGGGCGTGAACGTCGACTCTTCACTTCACGACCCAAAACTCGCCGGTAAATTCAACTCTCGCCGGAAAACCGCAAAATTCCGACGATTTTTGGCCATTTTCCCATTTCCGGCGAGCAAAATCCAAAGCCAAGCACATACCCAATCTCCCCTCATCAAAAGCGACCTTCACCGAGATTTAAGGGAGATATGGAGCACATTTTTTTCCGGCAAGTTCGCCGCCGGCGAGCCACCAACGAGAGTCTGGCGAGCTTCCGATGAAGCTCCAACGACCCTTCTCTGGTCTGTTTTCCGGCCGATTTTCACCGCCCTCGCCCTCACATCACTTCCTCCTACATCCTACTTGAGTCTCCAAGTTGGTTTTCAACTCTATCGTACTGATTTTGGGAGAATCGGATAGGGTAGTGAAGTGAGGAAAGTTTTAGTGAATTGAATGTTGAGCTTAGAATTAGGGCGAGGAATTAGGTGAATTAGGGTGATTGAATGATGTTTCTTGAGCTTATTTGAGCCTTGGTGGGTGTGTTTTAATTCGAATTGCTTGTATTTGCAAAGTTTGCCCACCAAGTGCTAATTGTTGAATGATGAGAAATGTCTTGATTGAGTGGTGGTTGGTCGCCACCGTGGCATGGTTCGGGTTTGAATTTTTGTGTGAGATAATCTGTGACCACCTAGAACAGTGTCGCGGTGTGCTTAAGCTTAATTGTTTTGATTAGCATGGATCCGGACTGGAAATTTAAGTATGGGGGGGGGGGGGAATTCTTTTTCCTCCCAATGAGCTGTTATTGACGTTTACTTGCACGTATGGTGCATGGTTGTCGATTTTTCAGGATGTTGAACGTGGTGCAGGAGTTCATCAGTTACCTGGTGAACCACGCCCAGTTCTGAGATAAGTTCTCCTACCAGCGGGATAGCCCGATTGAGCAGCATTGGCGGCTGGACCTGGACATGTTTAACATGTTCAGGTGCCGAGCCTCAATGTCAGGGGTCATCTGTCACCCCTAGTGGCGCCTGCTGCTCTCGATTGGCGAGTTCATTTACCACGAACTCTGCGTGGAGTTCTACTCCATGTTCTCCCACGTAGTCCCGACCGGCAAGAAGAGTCGGCCATATGTGGAGTTCATGCTGGGAGGTCAGACTCGAGTGTTGACCTATGATGCCTTTGCCCAGTCCATGGGGCTCAACCCAACGTACATGACGATGACAGAGCGGCAGTACACAGCCGACTTCCACTATCAGGTCGCATTCAAGGTCCTTAGTCGTCCAAAGCATGAGCACGAGGATTACGAAGCGAGCCACACTAATGCGGTAAAGGTGAGGACCCCTTGGAGGATCCTGCATACCCTGCTCACCCGCTATGTCATCTCCAGCCTGCAGTCTGGACATCTGATCACAAACAGAGGGTTGCTAGCTCTCTTCTCCATGAGGCATTCAGTAGAGCCGATCCACCTCACTCTATTACACCCTGCTCTTGCCAAAAGTCAAAATGACTATTATGCTTATGGCGAAATTTTTCAAATTCCACTGTAATATCGACGAGGACTAAAAATGTTAACTCTCGGTTAGAACGGTGTCGACTTTTTATATGAAACGAGAAAGTTACGAAAGCTAACTGAGTTTTGGATTAAACTCACCCGTAATTGAGAATTTTCCAAAATACTCCTTAGAACTAATTAAACCCTAAGCTAAACCCCAGATCGGATGAAGGAGTATATAATGGAGAAAATGACCAGACTTCCCTATTTTTTCTTCCAGCCGCTCATATTCCCCTCTAGGTCATGAATCCATGTTCCTCAAAGCCAAGAGCTTAAGCAATATAGGGAGAGCGCTACGAGGGTTACGGTTGCACGTTCGGATTTATAAAAAGGAAAAGAAAGAGCCTCTAGCGGTAGCACTAGGAGAGAGAGAGAAAGGGGAGCAGAGTGGTCGCCATGTTCATCAGGAAGGTCTCGACGTCACTCACCTTCCGGTCAGTGTCGATCGACTTGTAGACGTGGATAAGTTGCAAGTTGCTTTTAGGCCCGATACGTGGCTGGTGTTTATTTTGGCGGCGAACAATGAAATACGAGGGATTCAACCAATGAAGGAGATAAGGGGAATTTGAAAAGAGTTAAAAATTCGTTCCCATATAGATGCCGCTCACCAGACTGGTACCAAGCAAAAAGAAGAAGGATTGCTTGCGACCGAGTTGGGGGGAAGAGTCTGCCTAGTGTTGACATGATTACCAGAGGTAAACAAGTTGTTACCATCGACTCTTACTATTCTTTTGATGATATAAAGCTTAGACGCGTGAGGTGAATGAGTGGACTTTGGGGTGCATGATTAAACGTGGTTGGCAATGGCATGGAGTTATATGTTTAGTAAAGTTGGGGGTTTGATTAATGAACAAATATCTTGCCAAGTAGTGAGCGAATTTGGTGTATATACCTAGTACACATGGAGACGAACGAGAGCTCTAATTAAGAAATGGGGTGGCTTAATATGTTGGATGAATGGTTTGGAAGCAAGCTAGTTTATATCAGGGATGCTCAATAAGTTGGATTTGCGAGCGTTATAGAGTGGGGCGGATAATTATCGTAATAGCTAACCAAGGAATGTGTTACTACGGAGGATCTTCGATGCAGAGCAATGGACATGGGATTAACACAAGGAGAATGAATACTCGATGGTTGAGCTTCTTGGTTCGGGATCCCAACTGCGATGGTGTCATCGAAAGAGTATGGTTAATGAGTTGAGTGTAAAAGGGTAAATTCTACGCATTACGTGTTTTTTTCAAGTATTATGAGCATTAAATATTTTGATGAAGTGAATGTCATGGTTTGATTATGCGTATGGTTGATGATATGTGCCTTGTTTGAATTATGACTTGAAGTGAATGTGTTATTATTTACTTTGAAATTTTACGAGTATAAGTTATTATTTTAGAGTTAAAGAAACAAGTTCTTTTTAAGAAGCAACTCACCTTCAAGAAGCTGAAGTCGTTTTAAGTTTTTTAGTCACTAGCGCCAGTCCATTGCCATTTGAGATTTTTCAGATAGAACAACAGTTATGTTCTTGAGATCTTTGAGACAGAGAAGCAGTTATGCTCTTGACTCTTGAGATATTTAAGTTGAGCAGCAGTTATGCTCTTGATATTTTTAAGACGAGCAACAGTTATGCTCTTGAGAATCGTGGAAGAAGATCCTTCCACGATAAGTTTAAGGAAAGTCTGGAGGGCTTCTCATACGTATGAGTTGGGCAACCAGACTAGCTAGTGAGGGATCCCCGTGTCGCTCAAGTATTTAAGTCAAGCTTTGAGATTTAAAAATGGAGAGTAACAGACAACAAAGTAGAGTTGTAGTTATTGCTTTACGATTATGAGTAGTAACTGGAGATTCAGATTAAGAGTTTTATGTTTGAGGTTTGTTCAAGTGTTAGGCCTTTGTTTTAAGATATGTCAATTTATTTTAATATGATTAAAGTTATTTATGAAAGGTTTCCGTTATTGTTTCTAAGTCTTTTTGATTCAAATTTTGATTCACACTTTATCAAGGGTATTTTGGTAAAAGTAGTGCCCGCCCGGACTTGGGTGTTACACACTTATTGCCACCTCTTTCGCCCGATGTTTGGAGCAAAACAGGGTGGACACCATGCATATGGGGGCCTCATCACGAGACTGGTCCGCCACTTTCAGGTGGATCTGGAGCGGTGCTCCATCGTGGGACGGACAGAGTCGTTCCCACTGTCAACTCTCTACAACCAGAAGCTAGTGCTTCAGGGGGAGCGGGGAGTGGAGTACCTTGAGGGGCTTCGACCCTCAGAAGTCATGAGACCAGTGGTTGACCCGGCTCCACAGGAGCAAGATGCAGAGGTACCACCTCCAGAGCAGCCAGCTCGAGCTCCCGGCCGCCGCCGGCGTCCCACGCTCGAGCGCTCAGTACCACCACCAACACCACTACCCCCAGCTAGTGATCCCCTCGTCCAGAGGATGGATCACCTCGAGACCTATATCGTGGGAGTAACTTCCCGAATCAACCGGCAGACCGACCCACTCGAGCAGATGGCTCGTCGTCGGGGTCTCATTCTAGATGATGAGTTGGGGCCTTCGACCCAGTGAGAGATAGCCGATGAGGGAGACATGTGGCAGAGCCGATTCCTTTCGCCCCACTACTCCACTTGGAACTCTGAACTCTTTTGTTTTATTTTTATTTCTTTTATTTTGTGTGTGTGATCATAAACTACTACTATCGTATTGTGATGTGTAATAACCTCGCCTTGAGCGAGTCGTATTGTGGTTGTCTATGTGTGTTTTTGTCTTCTCCTTGAAGCATAAATCTCCTACCCCGGGACCAATTCCAACTTTCACTCACCAAGCAAAGCGGTAACATCGTTCTACCCCTATCTTACGCCATTGAGGGCAATGTCGAACTTAAGTGTGGGTGGGGGGGGGGGGCAATGTGAGCTTAATGGTGCTTGATAGAACGACCCCCCATTCTTTCTTTGTTTCTATACGTGAGTCGTCCTTTTGTCCCGAAGCTCTCGCTTTTGAGCTCCATTGAGGTTCTACATACAAGGATTGTGAGTGGTTCTTGCTAGGAATGAAAGAGAAAAGAGTAGTTGGAGCGGGATCTTAATAAAGAGCATTGGTCGTTAAAAGAGTGTGGCAAGTGTTTAACTCTCTAGTACACACCCCCCCCCCCTCAAAAAGAAAAGAAAGAGAAAGAAAAAGAAAGAAAGAGAAACGAAAAAAGAGGTAATAAATCGGGGTCAATAAAGTAGAGATTGCCACAAAAGATTACAATAGTATGCTCTAAGTGGGGTTTCTTGGCATGCAATCTATTGAAGCCCCCACAACAGTGTTTTAGAACTCCTTCACTACCAAGTTGAAATGTTATAGCAAGAAAGACCGAGGAAGAGCACTTAAAGGTAGTTCATGACGGGTGATAGGTTGGAAGGGAGAAGCAAGGTTTTTGGCCGATGCTAGTGGCCATTGTTTGTAAGGAAGGTTCTTAGTCGAAACCATAAAACCTTCGAGTTTAGGGTGAAGATGTAGGACATCATGATGTGTTTGCCACCACCCAAAAAGCCTTTTCCCCATGTCCAAGAGAATTGCCATTCATTTGAACCCGCGTCTAAAACCCCCGGACAAACTAGTGATGACAACTGTCCCGTGAACTCTAACCTTTAGAGGTTGCCGTCGTGGTGAAGAGACGATAGGGCCAAGTGTTGATGATTGTGCACATTCTTTGCACCAAAGAGGTCCTGACCCCACTGGTTAAGAGAGTGAGTGATTCATTCTTGCTTTGCATGCCATATCATACCCCAGTGAGGACCTTTCTTGCCCCTTCGTTCGTTCCTTGGACTTGAATTTTATGCATGGTTAGTTTTGGTTTATAAGTGATTTTTTGAGATATGCATTGATTCATGAACAAGGTGAGAACTTTTCATTTGCCCATTTTTGGTGACCTCGAATGTCGTTTGTGGTGGATGTCGGAATTGCTTGCAACGGTCCATGTGTTAATTGCCAATAGCCATTGAGAGTCACCACTTTGTGCCCTTTGATTTGTCCCCCAAAGCATTTTTTATAGTTTGGGAGGTTACCTTCTGTGAAATGGTTTTCTTGGGGACAAGAAAACGTCTACGTGTGGGGGAGTGATTCGGGCCTAATTGTACACTTTTTACCCCGGATTATCTTTGACGTTTGTTGCAATTGAACTCCAAAAAAGTTGGTTTTACACGAGGTTGATTGTGTTTTAGTATGTGTCAGATTCTAACAGGTAAAACCAAACTCAGAGTCGAAAGTTGGAAGAAAAGGAGCAAAGATCGGGCAAAGAGGTGGAGACAGTCGCAGTTCACGGCCATACGTTGGAGTTCACGATCTTACAGGACCATGAACAGGGGCCACTGACCATGAACCCAAGCAAATGAAGCGGTACGTTTTGGTCGCGGCACTGAGTTCATGAATGTGTTTCAATGTTCACGATTGTGAACTCAAGCCGTGAACTCAGCACGATCTCCCACTTAAAAGGAAATCTGAAGGGAAGAAGAAAGAGAGAGACCTAGAGTGAGAAAACTTATCCTTCTTCAGATTTTAGAGTGAGAAAGTGACGAACCAAAGAAGAGGAAAAGCTAGGGTTCGATCTCCAAGCAAGGATTTGGGTTTTCTTCAGCACAAGGAGCAAGGCTTGCATCTTCATGATGGTTTTCCTTGCCCTCTTTTGTGCTTTCCCTTCTCCTAGCATGGAGTAGTCCCTTATTTTCACTTGGGTCTTTGTAAACCCTAGCTACAATTATATGAATGCTTGTATGAATTGAACCTAGATTAGAGAGAACCCTAGCTACAATTATATGAATGGTTGTGTTTTAATGTGAATATAGAGGTAATATTCGAAAATGATTGTTTTGTGTGAAAGCCTATCAATCTAATTGGCAATTTAACCTAGATTAGAGAGGAGACCTCCTTAGGTTAGGAGGTTCATTGGGTGTTCTTGGGCATTTCAAGCCTCTTAGGCTAGTTTAGAGAGGAAACCTCCTTAGGTTAAGAGGCGAGATGGGATTCTTGGGCTTTTCATGCCTCCTAGGCTAGTTTAGAGATGAAACCTCCTTCACCCAAGAGGTTTGGTTCCTTGGCTTTTCATGCTTCCTAGGCTAGTTTAGAGATGAAACCTCCTTCACCCAAGAGGTTTGGTTTCCTTGGGCATTCAAAGCCTCCTAAGCTAGTTTAGAGAGAACCCTCCTTAACCTAAGAGGCTCATTTCGAGATGGGTTTCATTGGGCATTCAATGCCTCCGAAGCTAGGTTAGAGAGAACCCTCATTAAATTAAGAGGCTCTACTAGAGATGGGTTTCCTTGGGCATTCTATGCCTCCTAGTCTAGGTTAGTTAAAGGGCAAACCTCTTAATTTGTATTAAAACACTTAGGGTTTGGTTGTGGTTGGCCGTCCGAGCTCCGATTCGAGGGTGAAGTCTAACCATTCCTTAGTTGATAGGTTGAGAGTGTCACATTTGTGGCTTGGATCGTATCCCATTCCTCAACCTAGAGTCTAAGAGGGTAACTTTTGTTGCTTGTTACTGATGCGAATTGTGTTCCCTGCAGTTTATGACCCCCCTAACCACACACGGTCGTTAGATTCTTCAAGTCATAATTGTTAGCTAGGGGGAGCAACACCCGGATGAAGCTTTCTCAACTAGAGTCAAATTCATTTTACCTTTGCAAAGTAATTTAGTTTCAACCTTTGTTTTCACCAAAACTAATCTGATTTATAATGTTTCAAACTGTGGAAGTAGCGGTACATGGACAGGCCCGGATCGATATTTAAACATACTTGCCCTATATTGCACCCATCTAAGGTTTATACTTGGACCTTAGGTGGGATTTTATTGTGATAGTTAGAGCGAGTCAACCGACCACGAGCGAGAGAGAGCTATCGTGAAAACTGTTCAAATAGTAACATGCTTTCTGAAATACCGGCGATGAGCGAGAGAGAGCTATCGTGAAAACTGTCTGAAAAGTAACATGCTTCAGAAGAGGATTAAACTTCTCATAAAAGTCAACCCACGGTCGTTGATGAAAGCCTATAGCCACAAGACGAGCTATAAACCGCTCAAATGATTCGCACACAAGGTTGTATTCTCTACAGTCACGACATGCCATCATTTAGGATAACAAAGAGCTTCCTCGACAGACGTTGGCCCAAGAGGAGGAATGGGAGACTTCTACAATGTAGTAGCTTACACAAACTTTTGATGAGGTTTTTGAATATTATTCTTACCACGAGTGACAATTGGATGCATAATAGGTAGTTGGCGAGATGAAGTGTGACGAGGAGCAGGTGAGGCAGCTGAGTCAGGCAGTTGAGAACCTGATGAAGAACCTATCTCAATGGATGTATAATAGGTGGTTGGCGAGATTCGGACTCCCAAATTTGGGTTTCTCACTTATGGGTCTCTTGGATCCCTTGTCTCGGGATAATTGAGAAGCCAATGGAATAGTTCGTGTTCTCTTTCACAATGCTTTGAACGATATGTGCTTCGGAAAGCTTGAAGCTTCGAGGATCCCTCTGGTCGACTCTGCTTTGTCTTTTCTGTTCAGCTATACGGAGAGGTCATTGGAAGAAAATTTCAATTGTTGGAGTTGTTAACCATAGTTTATGAAAATGATAAATATACTAATTGGTTTTGGAATCTTTGAGGATCTGGGGTTATGGTTGAAACAGTGAATTGACTGGAGATGGTAGGGAATGAAAGGTAGAAAAGAAAGGTTTTATGGGTTTCGGGTTAAGGTGTTGCATCGCGAGCGATAAATGAGCGAAGGAGGAAGACAAATAGAAAGACAGAGGGCAATACTAACCTTCCATTTTTATACTGAAATACCGAGTCTATAACCAAACGAGATATTCATCCAAATCTCACACGTAAATAACCTAATTTTTAAACGAGAGTTTTGAGCCCAAATTCCTCGTTATTAAAAACCATCATCCAAACGACCACCTAAAGTGTAAGAGGTTGTTTGGATGGATGATTTCAATGAGTTATTTCGGGCCAAATAACTCATGTCACCTTCCTTCTACCCCTTTTCTTCGAATCCTTGAAATCTTCTGTCCGGAAGCAAAATCGATTGTGGGACGAGCAAGATAATTCAACTCAATTATATATCACAAGTTGAATAAATCATATGAATGGTTAACCCAAGCAAAATAATTCAACCCAATTTCTGGATGAAGTATTTGAGTGAGTTATTTGGGTTCAAACTTCAAATAACTCACAATGAATTATTTGGACACAAATAACTCGTTTGCATCATTAACTGGAATGAGTTATTTACAAATAACTCAAAGCGAGATATTTAAAATAACTCCTACCCCGTGTTATTTCAAAATAACTCATTTTACCACTCTGGTTGTGCCAAATATCACATGTCAAATACCACATTTACATGGTTCTACCAAACGGGATATTTTAATCTAATTACCACTGAAATAACAGTAAAATACCAAATAACAATAAATGAGTTATTTGACTCTACAAATAGGGATGGCAATGGGTCGGGTTGGGTTGGATTTTCCCAAACCCAAATCCATGGGTTGATCAGTGAAAAAAACCTGGGGTAAAACCTACTGGGTTTGAGAAACTCAAACCCAATCCAACCCACTGGGTATCTGCGGGTTCATGGGTACCCATGGATTTTTGTCGTAAAAAACTTACAATAACAAGTTCCTATCAAAATTAAAGTCAAATATCAATCTCTCAATACAAATTATCCATATATAAAACACCATTATAGAAAATTCAAGCAAATCACAATTTAACTATACAAATTGTTCAACACCAATCTAGAAAACTCAAGAAAATAAGCAAATTACAAATTATCCATAAATAACATGATTAATTGAAAGCTTCTTTCTCCTTGTCAAGTAAGTTTCTTCACTCTCCACTCGATACAATCAACTTCATTCTACACAATTAGAAAGAAAAAATTAGACATGTCTCCACAAACATAAATAAGACTAGTGTGGGCCCCGGCCAGTTGGCCGGAGGAAGGTGAGGTATGAAATTTGATAATGTAATGGGGTGTATAGCTTATTGTTGTATAGTTTTTTTTGGGAAACTCGTGATACAAATAGTGGATTTTAGCAGGAAAGAGACATGAATGATGCAATGAATCAAAAATCGGCCTTATGAACCAAAATCAAGTACATGTTACCTTGTGAAACAATATTGTTTCTGGTAATATGATGAGGTGGAGTAAGTTTTATAGAAACCGAATTCCAAAAAATTGAACAAAAAAATCGCCTATCCCGTCGGTTTTCGGGAAATGAGCATCTCATAATCGTTGCTAGCTTTAACTCGACCCGTTGGTCGATTAATTTGCTTTATAAAACTTTCATCTTGTCGTCATTGTGCTTTCTGAATTTTGTTAGGCCATGATAAAATCTAAGGAAATCAAGAACGAACAACACGATTTGGGATAGGAACCGTCTTGTCATATCCCTAGAAAATGGTGGTAAACACAGACTCACCTGCCAAACTGGTTTGGATTGAGATTTTTATCGGGTATCAGGGAACCATGTGATTATAAATTAGACTTGATCAAAACGGGCCAAAACTTGGAATTCAGCATGTATTGACTGACCCATGTCAAATTCTAATTATTCTTTACTTTTAAACTTTCTATTTGAAAATAAAAAATAGTGAAAGAAAAGAGATGACTGCAATTCGCCATTTGCACATAACTTATTCGGGAATTAAACCATAAAAATTCAAAAGGAACTGAAAATGTTTAGGATCGTTTTAATGTTTAAAATAACCAAATAGATCGTTATGTTTAGTTTTTTACTAACAAATACCAAACGATTCCCTATAAAATACACTATAATTTGATCATTATGATATCAAATAATTATATAATATATATTTGAAATGATAAAAATTGGACTAAATGGGTAGGTCGAGTTTGAACCATTGAATAACTTTAAAATACATTATATTTTAGCCACTAAGATATAAAATAATAGCATAATATATATTATGCCAGAGAAAATAGCTTGTTTTAGAATGACAAACCAATGATGTTCATTTGTTTTACTTGATGGCCAAATCCCGTGTAGGTCAGGCCCATTCAACTCTTTTATTTTATGGTTAGCGGTTAGCCCATTAGATACCATGCATTAGTTTATTGTTAAATTTTTTTATTTTTAGCAATAAAAATGAGTATTGTTTTTGCCTTTTCATATATATTTTATCACCACGGAGAAATAAAAGGGCTTAAAGAAAAAAATTGACACTCCTGGTCCCGTTTAAATCCGCATGTGTACGGTAAGTTGGCCCGTTCCATAGAGGAAAAAGAAAAAAATTGACACTCCCTATTCTACCCTTCCTACAAACGCTCCTGGAGCAAGGAATTTGAAATGGGGAAAGAGTTTTTTCCTCTCTGCTATTATTAGTGTGATTGGTTATGATCCTTGCTTTTCTTTAAAATGGTCATGGTTCGAATCCCAGTACGTATCTTTTTAATGAATAAAAAAAAGTAATTGTGAAGACCAAAATGTCCTTCCTACTTTCACTCTCGTTGCACGAAATTTGAAATGCGGCTCCTGTTTTTTCCTTCGGTGTATTGTATTATGTGTAGATTAGTTGTTTAGAATATTAAATATACCGAGAAAATTAATTATATGGGTGTGGGCGGGTATCCATGGGGCGGGTTTACCTTAACCCAAACCCAATCCAACTCGGTGAATAGTGAACGGGTTTAAACCCAAACCTGGCCCAAAACCCGTCAATATGAGTTTTACTCGCATTGACCGAGTTGGGTCGGGTGGATACCCGTGGATTCGAGTATTGTTGCCATCCCTATCTACAAATATCACATTGACAAATAACCAACCTAAAAAATAATTCATCAGCATCTTTCTGTGAAATGCAGTTAGGCCCAAAAATAGATTGTGGAGACGGGTATAGTTGGGCCCAACCAGTTGTATTCCTTAGTTGAAAAGCCCACTGCATAAATATCATAGGATGGATGAAAACCAGGCCTGAATAACAGAAAAGACCCGAGGTCGCGCTTTCTCATCGTCGTTACTTAGTCAGTCCTCATCTCACCGGCTCGCTCACTTTCACGGAGCTGTTGTGTCTTGTGTGTAGTACTTAGCGATCCATTCGTAAGCAGGCAGCCGATCGATCTCGAAGCACCACGGAGAGACGGCGAAAGAAAATATTGAGGAAATGGCAGAGGATCCCGAGAAGAAATTCCACTCCATCATGGACAAGCTCTTTAGTTCCTCCAAGTCCTCCTCTCTTAGGTAATCCCCCCAAGGCCTTCCTATCTGTTTGGTTCCTGTGAAAAATTGCTGGAAAAAGAAACCAAATGGAAAGAAAAGACGGAGCGCGGGTTCCAGCTAATGGTTTCCATCGTCCAAAATTTAGTTGCTCTTCAATTGTATTTGTTTCTCCGCATAAGAATTGGACTCGAGGTTGCTTCGGCTCGGCTAGGCTGTTTCTGAGTTTGATTATGGAGATTTTGGAGCTCTTTTATCTGTGTTAGTATGCTCATTTTGGAGTTGAATTTTGGCTGTACTGTTTGCTCGTTTAACTTACTTTTGTCTCTCGTGCTTGGTAGTTCGTCCATGGGAGAATCGTCGAGAGGGAAGAAGCGGCCGAATCCCGAGTCTGCATTAGCTTTAGTGGAACCAAGATCGATGGTGGATATCCTCGATGTTTCTCGGCGCTCTTCAGTAGCTCAGAGCAATGCTCCATTGTGTAGACCGTGGGACAGAGGTGACTTAATGAAGAGGGTGGCTACTTTTAAATCCATGACTTGGTTCGGCAAGCCAAAGGTCTGTTACAGTCTTCCTACGTAGTAGTTCTTTCATTTTCTGGTGTCAGACTTGTGGTTCTACTTACAGTTAAAAGTGCATTATCTTTTCGGCATCATGTATGGGGATGAACGAGGTACTTGTGAGGTTAACTCATTCGAAGATGGCAAAATTGTTAGTGTAAGGTGAAGTGCTGAAGTCAGTTTTATTATTGATTGTGTTGATACTGTATATACTTTTGCAATTTGCGGGATAGAGCAAGAATGTGTGGACTGATGCCCTATTGTAGGATATAGGTTCTGGAGGGTTGTATCTTTTGATGATTATCATGCCGTTTGTGAGAGAATGGCATAGTTGTGTAGGATTGCCTTCATATTGCTTTGTCCGATTTCCAATTCACTACTGTATTAGTTGAATCATTTATGTGTACTGAGTCTGTCGTTTATGGATTTGTTGATTTAACGTCTTCCCTAAATATTAGGCTGTAAATGCTGTGAACTGTGCAAGGAGGGGGTGGATCAATGTGGACACAGATATCATAGCATGCGAAGCATGTGGTGCACGTCTCCTTTTTTCAACTCCATCATCTTGGCCACAGCAGCAAGGCAAGCAATACCCATCTGCTGATGAGTATATCTATTGAACTGCTTGTTCAAGGTTTGTTGAAATCATTTTTTTATTCTTTAATCCAGTTGAAAAAGCAGCATTGGTATTTAGCTTAAAGCTGGATAGTGGACACAAGTTACTGTGTCCATGGGGTGACAACGCATGTGATGAAAGATTGGCAGAATTTCCTCCCACCCCCTTTCCGGTTCTAGCTGATAAATTCAAAGAACGCTCCTCAAAACTTCTGCAGCTCCTGGCACTTCCTGTAGTTTCATCCTCAGCCATCGAATACATGAGAAGTCCACAGCTGGAAGAATTTCTTAGCCAGTCTTTAACACTCGACCTCTGCAATGAATCTCCCAGTATGTCCGAAATAGAGTTCTTGGGAAATGAGAAAGAAGCTGACTGTGCAAACTTGTATTATCAGGTTCATACTTCTCACTTTTATGATGTCTTATTGCTATATCTTCGTGCCAGCTTGCCTTCAAAGTTATTTTTTCATATACGATCATTTACTGCACAAATATGCCATTGTACGCATGTGAGTCTTCCAGATTATAGCAGAGGATTTGTAATGAAGCATACTCTTTTATTACTAACTTTCCTAAGAATCTGTCTTAATGTTCAACACTGATTTTGATATTTGACAGGCGCAAAAGTTAATTAGTCTGTGTGGTTGGGAACCACGTTTACTACCTTATGTTGTTGATTGCATTGAGAAACCAAAGGGGTCTGAAATTTTGAAGTCATCTCTTGCTGATTCTACAAGAAATAGTTCAAGTAATGTCCGCTCAGCTGCTACTGGAGAAAGAGAGGTTAATGAAGAAGGTGGGAACAATATTGTCTCGTCTGTTGATCCTAATTCCATTGTTTTAGATTGTGGGCTTTGCGGAGCTAGTGTGGGATTGTGGACCTATTCTACAGTTTCAAGGCCTTTGGAGTTGTTTAGGGTGGCTGGAGTAGTAGAAGTAAATGGCAACAGGAGTGGCGGGCAAGAACTAGAAAATGCAGATCCTGTTAACAAAGACGGAGTTTTAACTTCGTCCTCAAATAGTTTTCTGTTTCCCCCCACAAATATGAAATTCACTATTGCTGGGGGTCCTCCGCCAACAAAGCAGAACTTCAAAGCAACAGTATCACTGCCTGTTATTGGGAGGAATTTGAGGGCCAGGCTGTCATATGACAAGGATTTTGGAGACCATTCAAGTGGAAGCCAGTTGGATCCTGCATCTCAGTCTGAAAAATTAATTATGTCGAACATGGAAAGGGATCACACTGAAGAGAAGGCAGGTGATAATCCATCTCAGTCCGAGACACTGGAGTCGTCAAAGAGAAAAGAAAATGATCAAAGGCAGGTTAGTGCTTCAAACAGTGAGAATCCGTCTGTGATCAACCCTGGAGGATGTGAAACTCCTGAAACGGATAATGCTCTGCCGCAGTTGGAAGCAAGCACAAGTGTTGTTCCAAATACGCATTCAAACCAATCTGAAAGTTCGACCATCCAAAACAGTTTGATATCTGCTGAAAAAAGCAACAGTGGCACTGGAGGACCACAGAATCAAGCTAATGGAGATGTTTTGCTCTCGGGTACTGGTAAGCAAAATTTTCTATGTCGTGCCTTCTCTTTTTTGTTCTTTAAGCAGCTGGTTAGTTATCCCTTATCCACTTTTGGCATTATGATTCATAAGGCTTTCATTTGCTAAAGATATTTTTATAGTGATTCTTTCACTGGATGCATATATTTTGTTTGGACAGCCATACACACTTGCATGCTTGAGTTTATAACCAGAGCTAGTATTGTGCTTAGGACTAGTTCTTCCCTTGTGTTCGCTGAATCCATTAATTTATCCCATATCGTGATGGGTTTTGCAAATGGAAATGAATATCTCTTTCATATGTCCGTAGTTTTGTCTTGTAAATCAAATAAGTGCATTCTTTTGCTCTTTCAGCCATGATAGGTTTGATCAAAATCTGAGTTTTGATGGTTTCCATCACTGTTTTCTTTCTGCAACCTTGGTCATTGTTACTTGTCTTGAGAAAGTTCTTGATTGATGCTTAATATATCCCCGAGCTGTGCTCTGGAGTCATGCTGCCCAGGATTGTTGTGTGGCTCTCTGCTTGATTGTTAACTCTTGGTTTTGAAAGAATCTCCAATCCTTTCGATTTGGTGCAGTTAAGGAATTCAAGGAACTTTCATCAAACAGAAGTATGGATTTTGATCCAATCAGACAGCACAGGCACTTTTGCCCATGGATTGTGTCGACCAACAGTGGCGCACCAGGTTGGCAGCAAACTCTGACTGCTTTGCAACGCCGGAATGATCGGTCTAATTCGTCACGCAAAACTCCTTCAACCTCTTCGATTATCAAGGTAACAGAAGTCTCTTAGTCTGTTCTCAAAATAGTTATGGATGGACCAGTTGGTTAAGTTAGGCTAGAAACTATTGAAATAGGCCATTACTTTGTCTTGGATTGCTTATATTAGGGAACAGCACTGGCTTAATTTGTTATGTACTTATGGGTATTCTTAATTGACTTTTTGTTGTTGAACAGGTGAACGATCCCATAACTTCAGTTAGAAGGCTTTTTAGGTCTCCATCAGCCAAAAGACCAAAGCTCACACCCGGATCAAGCTGAAGCATTATTTCATTTGTAGCTAAGCAATTTTACCAGGTGCGGATACGTTACGTTACTGTTTGACCTTGAGATCAAGAATGCTGTGAACATACAGTCTCTAATGATCCAGTAGTTACATTTTCCATGACCATTCGCTCATTTTTTATGGAGAATAGACCATTCATAAGTTCAGTGTCTACTCTTGTCTTTTCCTGGATAGTAAGTCCGTTCCGCTAGGAAAACAATAATGGACAAAAAGAATGAAAGAACTGGAAGGTCTTACAACCCGAAGAACTTTCTTCATTCCATCAAACCACAGTTTGTGACGATCACCTTTGAATATGGCCTATTGAAACCTCTTTCTGCAACCACAGCCCTCTTGTCGCCTATAAGCTTTGCCACTCTGTTCACAAAACAGAGTCAGAACTCTATTCTTTGTATTTATGCAACATGAATGAACTGCATATAGTGGAAAGCATAACTTTTTAGTTTGTCTTCCTACCATATTCATGGTTCAATGTCTAAGAAGTATATATGCTGGCATATATAGTTGATTCAGTCATTGAGGTTTCTATTGCATTTCGGAATATCCATTAGAATAAATAAAATCAGCTAGCTGACATTTCTCACCTGAAGTAAGGAGAGGTAGTATTGTCCTGCACCGTCTTCACTTGTCCAATCTTCTCGACAACCTCCATCCCTTCCAACACTCTCCCAATCACCAAAGCTGCAGCATCAAGCTCAGGCGAATCCTTAGTTGCGATCACAAACTCTGTACCATTCGGATCACTCCCAACCTCTTCCTCGTCAATCTCCAGCTTCCCTTTCTTTGCCACCAACTTCAGCTTCGGTGGTGGCTTTAACGGATTCCTAACAATAATCCCTACACTCCCTGCCAAGTTCTTGGTTCCAACAGTGCACCTCTCATTCTGTGCCTGCCATTCATCCACCAAGGTTTCAGCCGCCAAATCGCCCCCTGTTGTGCTCCTAGCCAGATCAGCATCCACGCCATAGGATCTCACTCCACCGTGTTGCACATAGTTTGATGTGATTTTGATGAATTCTTTCCTTCTGTAGGTGATGCCAGCTTTCCCACTCACTAGTTTACTAAACCTGGAAGCTCCAACTGGGACAACATCATCGTACAGACCAATGACTACTCGTCCTGCTGGCTTCCCATCAATGGATATATCAAGAAATGCCCGTGATGTAGGCTCTTGACTACTGCTGCTGCACAATTGTTCACCGCCACTGCCTTCTTTGACGCTATCTTCAGCTCTCGCTTTACGTCCCAGCAGAAGCAGCAGCGATGCATTGCTGAAAACTGCGAGCTCTCTGCGTGAGAACTGTTTTGGGGATTCTCTGAGAAGGGGTAGTGATGGAGTGACAGGAGAACTGTGTGCAATTGGCGGCAGTGGCGTCGGAGCATGACAACGATGATGATGATGATGGAGGTTAATGGTGGATTGGAAGATTCTGGAGTTGTGTAACATTTCTATTTTTTAGTATTTTTGGCTTCAGGTTTCTGAGTCTTGGGAATATGTCTGTGTGACTCTGCAAAGGGCAGTGCTATGGTTCTCTATAGATAAGGAAAGGGAAAGAAGCTGATGGCTTCTTGTAATTGGTTGTTATTCTATCTCAAACGGCCAGCAAAGAGGAGGTCTTTGTGGGCCAAAGGGTATAATGGGCCAGGATATTGTAAGCCTCCCTTCCACTACGCTCAATCATATTATTGTGTATTTTCTTTACCGCGGCTGGGCCAATTTAGCATAGGATTATTTGTATCTAAGGCTGCAATTCTGCAAATGAGTCATCGTGAGCCAAGTTGCTCACGAGTAGTTCAATGCATAGACCAGGAAACCGGATCGTACCGGCTGGTTCAACCGGTTCAACCTGAAATTGGACCAAAAGCGGTACGGTGGGCTGCTTGTGCTGATTTTACCGTACCGGTCGGTTTTTCGGTTTGACCGGTTGAACCGACCGGTACGATCCGGTTTTCTGGTCTATGATTCAGCTTCATTTCTACGTATTCTCGTCCAATATGTGGAAAATAATTAAAAAAGAATATTATTTTGCTATTTTTCTATGTTGAAAATGGGTCACCGTGGTTGTATAATGCTCTATTTGGTTCTTTTTTTGATGGATTATATTTTTTATACTATCGCATTTCATTTCTCTATCAATAGTGAAAAACGGTATTTACCGGTACAAAACGGTTGAACCACGGTCGTACCACAAAATACCATACCAGAAAGAAATCCGGTATGATGTCCGGTACGGTTTCCTTTACCATGGTTCAATGTTGGCTTTGGGGAAAGTTTGTTGTTTGTAACTGCTGGAATTGTGAATAGTGTGAATGAGAATGGAAGGGGAAGGAGTCCAAAGAAACTCTTGAAATACCATATTGGTTATTTATGTGAAAGACGAAAGAGACTTTGGATTCGGTCGATTGATTTGATTAAACCTTTTGGTAATTGGTCGAATTGGGTTGTGTAACCAACTGGACCAAACTGATCGAACTGATGTGGCGGTTGGAGTGAAGCAATTGCTCCAACTACCATGGGCTGAACCTATACAATGGTTCATAATTTTACAACGAACCAATATGTTGGTTGGGGTGTAACCACCCAGCCGAAGGGGCACTTCCTTTCACTCGCACCCCTTCATTTTCTATAAATAACACCAACCCTCTCTGTTTTAATATGTGAGTTTTCCTAAAAGGATTTTTGGCGCAACCTGCTTGCAAAAAAGAAAGGAGTTGGTGGATAATGCTCGAACATGTACTTAAGAAAATAATTTCGTTATTGCCTAAAATAAAATAAATACTTAGAATAATGAAAGAGGATTAACTCTACAAATGAAGTAAATATTGAACGAGTGAATATTCGTCCGTGAAGATCCTTTTGTTGAATCTTTTTCACGACCCGAAGATAACTTGATAAGAAAATGATTTTTTAAAAGATTTCGTTGAAATTGTTCATTTGAAAATTTCCCCAAATATCTTTTCCAACTATGAATTCTTCCACTTTTGGTTGGCATGATCGTGAGGGGAAAATGGGGTTCGAACCCAATGATCAAGCCAGACCTGAATTGTTCTCTCATCACCAACTCTCCAGAAGATGGTCATAACTTCATCTGGGTTCGAATCCTATGGAGAGGCCCACTAGAGATCAGAAATAGTTGAAGAGAGAACAAGAAGTGCTTCGGATGCAGTTTCCTATGTTGAGACCTTAACCATTGAATTTTCAAAGCTTTTTAATGTCTAGTTTCCCAACTAGTAGACGGTTCCTATTCTCCCGGATCACCTATTCCCAACCACAATTTTTACTAAGCATTTCGCCCCCCAATAATAAAATTGCATTGGTGCGGGAAAACATTTGCAGATGCGACCATGGATCGAACTGTATAATTTGTTTAATTAGTTTGTATATTTTCATTATCTGTTTTGTATACTTTGTAGTATTAGTTTGTATATTTCATGATATGATTTGTACACTTTTGTATTTTGATTTGTATACGATCTATTATTGGTTTGTACACTTTTATTCTATGATTTGTATACTTTGTATTTGTAGTTTGTATACTTTTCTGTTCTACTTTGTACACTTCGGGATGTTACTTTGTAATCTTTGCCTAGTTAATATATAAATAAGACAAAAAAAAAGAGTGGGTTGGTAAAAAAATAAAAGAGGTATGACACTAGAGAGTGAGGGGTGGGAGAGGGAAAAAGAAAATAAATAAAATCAGAGAAAAATTAGTTTTTCATAATACTATAATAATCCTTATCACTAGTTAAATAACTCTTCCCATATTTTAACTATTAGATCTATTAGTTTTTCATAATACTATAATAATCATAAATAAAAGAGGTATGATCATAAATTAGTTTTTCATAATACTATAATAATCATAAATAAAAGAGGTATGATCTAAAGGTTAGTAATGATTTAATCAACTGTCTAAATACCCTTCCTTTATCATTAGACAAAATTTGGAATGTGAACAAAGTTCGTTTCTTAATTTAAATGACAAACCATATTCAATATTTTGGAAATGGTTCACTATTTAATCCAAACGAGATAAGAGTTGGAACATGTGTCAGTACTTGGTATGAAAAAAAAAAAAGCATTAATGTGAATTGATGGATAAAAAATAAATGCCGGCATTTCGACTCCTGATTTAAAATGAGAAGCTCTTGTCATCAATTTACATCTCCTAACCTATATTAGCTAAACACAACCGTGTTGTTAAACTCTAAATACATTGGTTTCTACAATCTATCTATCTATCTATCCTTACAACATCTATTCTAGCTAGTTCGGAGTAGCAGAAATGAAAGTCTCTTCACTACAGGGAATCGTCAGGCCACCCATTGGAGGGTCAAAACCAAATTCCTCTTCAGCCATGCTCAACAAATCCTGAAATGAAGGGTGACTCAAGTAGCCGTAGGACAACGATACTAAAAATCGCTTCCTGTTATGTGACGTCTCTCCAACATAAACCGCCAAGTAGCCCTTTGGCACATTGGTAAAGCTCGACGAGGATGATTTGCTTGTCCCAGAACTGGACCTTTGAAGGATTTTCTTCACCATGTTAGTTGGCAAGCCAATAGCCATGGCGGATCCTCTTTTCTGAAGATGATCAATTGTAGAAGAAAGGAGCTGAAAATGAGAGAAGGGTAGGCTAAGTGGGAAGCTAGCTTGTTATCTGTGTTGGTTTGTGGTGAACTGGTGATGATCCGAGCACATTATATATATAGAGAGAGAGCCATAGATGTTAAGGCACCAAGGGTTTGTAGCGTTACTGGGACATAGCTCATTAAGTCTCACATGGTGATGCCTTGAAATGAAGGGACCAATTGTAGTTGAGACAGAGGACAGTTGTGCATACCCTACAATTGAAGGGCAAGGCCTAAATAGCTAGTCCAATGGCTGGCCACATATTGATATGGCCTATGAGTATGAATTAGTGAAGCTAAGCTTGCCAACTGTCCTATTTTGTGTAAGTAACATGGTTGAATTATCTTTGTCACTCGGTCCCTAGCTACTTGGAAAAGTAAAATATGCTACTTGAAAAAGTAAAATATAGTTGCGTATATATCGGTACATGTTCAATATAAGGTTAGAATTTGAGTTCACATAATTAGGGAGCGGTTACGGTGCTAATTGTACAATAGTTAGCACCGTCCTAACCAAGGGAAAAACTACTACTAGTTTGAATTAGTAGTGATTTAGCTTAGATATTGTATTGATTTTATAATAATCCTTAGTGATTTCGTTATTTTTAGTATCGTTTTTTGCTAGTTATCACGGTGCTAACCCCATCCCACAAAATTACAAAACTCAACTCTCGGTATTATACCAAAACTAAAGATTGGTATTTCTAGTGTTATTAGTCCTTAAAGTTTTTACAAATTATCTTTTTTTTGTTTTTCATCCAAGATATTATTGTCTAGAGATTTTATCGAGTGCATCAAGTATATCACATGCTTGAACTCGGGATAGAGTTCAAATTTAGACAAGTAAAATCGCCAGCAATATATGAGTGAACATCTGGTAAGATCAATCGTCCCGTGGTACTTTGCATAAAGAGTAAGATGGTTTGGGATACGTTGCATAACCCACGGTTATGCAACCGTCCCTAAGCGCTGGATATGAGCTTGTGTGATCGTGTGGCTGGGCTTGATGCAGGATGAGGCAGGAATATTTTTGTCCATTTTTTGAATTATGTTACTTTTTCTCTGTTTATTTTTCTGTCTTGTGTATAAGGTGAGCTGGTTGAGGAGAGAGAGTGAGATTGAATAAGAGAATTTTCTTTTAATCCCCGCTTAATTTTCTCGAAAAAAATCCCAAAATACACATGTTTTAAAATCAAATTCTCAAAATACACACGTTATGAAAATAAATTCTCAATCTACGCAAGTTTAGGCATTCACCGCTAATACGCCCCTGGGGGTGTATTTTTATCAAAGTCACACAACAAACAATCAATCCGAAGATTGATTGAACTCGAATCAAGAACAATGCGTTCATAATACGAAATTGGGATAAAACGGAACCAACGGACAATTCCACACCTGGGGAAAGCTCGTAAGGTATAAAAGGGTAGTTGCTCGACCACGATTGAAGAGGATATTCAATCGATACAAAGCTCACAAGCTTGGAATCCACCAAACTCAAACAAGTCGCAACTTGCACTAAACCAAAGGGTTTGTTTTTCGATTAATCTAAGTCTTATATTTTACAATGAAAAGAAGGGCTTTTATAGCCAAATAATCCTAATACAACCCTACATGAACAAGGAAACTAATTAGATCAGAAAAAGGCTAAATAATTCGTGTAAAACAAGGTAACTTGGTGGCCAAGAAACTGACTTAAAACACAATTAGTGGAAAACAGGCTTCATAGCATTTTTGAGCCCATCGAAACCGGTCTTCTAGGTTGATTCTAACTCAAACAATTCCTTTTCTTTGTAAAAGAAAACTTTCTCTTTCACCTCCAACTTGAATCAGCTTGAGATCATGCCCCGAATCCCAGATATAGGCATTCAAAGTTGGTATGTCAAAACAGTTTTCTGCCTTAGCCAAATTTAGGCAGTTTTCCGCTTTTGAGGTAGCCTTTTGATGGGCTTTGAAAGTGACCTTTCAGACATCCCCTTGAGCTTTAAAATATACCAATATAAAGATAAAAACTTTATCTTCAAAAAAAGCCCTTGATCTCCCATTTTCATTGAGTCATTTTTGAGATACAAGCTTCCAAAGTAGGCTACCTGAAACTGTTTCAACACTTGGCCAAAAATCAGAATTCTTCAAGTTAGTTGAGATGACTTCTTTGGCAAGTAATTATGAATTGAGGATTGATCCAATTGGGATCAAATCAACCGCGGCAAAGAAAGGCGGTGATGCAATCACCGCTGTAGAAAAAGGCGGTGAATGCTTCACCGCGTTTCCCGACCGCGGTGAAGGTCTGACCTGCGTTGAAACTTTAAACGAACGTAACTTTGTGCTCGGTTATCCGATCGTAGCAATTTTTTTTATTATTCCGCATAACTTTTCGAGATCTTGCAAGCCGCAAACCATCTTCGTCCCGAAAAAATGTCGTTTGCTACCCCGAACGAGCCTTTTTCGATTTCGTCAAACTTTGAACGATCATAACTTTGTGCTCCACAATCCGAAAGTCATGAATTTTTTTTATGATTTCACATAACTTTTTAAGGAATACAATTTTTAGTAGGAGATAATTTTCAAAAAATGAATTATTTTTGGATATAAGAGGTTTTGGAAATAACTTTACCTTCCCTTTTTAGGAATCCAAGTACATTCCGAATTTATATCTATGATGCAATCACCGGTCTTCTCTCCTGCGGCCCGCCTTTCTTTGTCGCGGTAAATGCCCAAACCTAGTGATGGCAATGGGGCAGGTACCTCAATTCCCATGCCCCGCCCCACACTACTACGGGTCGGGGCGGGTAAAACCCGCGCGGGTACGGGGCGGGGCGGGTCGACCCACTCTTACATGTTGTTCAAAAAAAATACAAGTAAATTTTACTTTTTACAATAAAACGTAGGGGAAAACACTTTAAAAATGAAAAATATTGATAATAGAATGGATAATTGAGTCTAACAAATTGAAAGATCGACTCTAACTAGTTGAAGAAAAGTCAAAATAGGAGAAATATGTATAGATATTGTAAGAAATTGAGATAAAATGAGTCTAGAACGGGGCGGGGCAGGGCGGGTCGGAAGTAGATGCCCATGCCCCGCCCCACGCTACTGCGGGTCGGGTAATATCCGCCCCATCGCTGGTCAGGTCGGGTAATACCCGCGGGACGGGTTGAAATTTCCATCACTACCCAAACCTGAATAGATTGAGAATTTTTTTCATAACGTGTGTATTTTGAGAATTTTTTAAAAAAACATACGTATTTTGGAATTTTTTCCTAATTTTCTCTCGACACATCTAAGTCGTCTAGAATAACGGTACTTACCTTAATCTCCCACCCCAATTTACTATTTAATTACCATAAAAGAAAAAGGACTCCTTTCAGCAGCCCAAGGCCCAACAAGCCCAACCATCCACACATTTCCCCAAGCTGAGCTGGCCATTTCAAATTCATCTCCCGCCCCCATCCCAAAATGGATTTGTATTTAAATTTTTCTTATTGTTTTTTTATGGGCTTATATTTCAAATTCGTATCTTCGGTTAGTACAAACTACAACCAGAGAGAGAAAGAACGGACGTTGCAAACATTTGCTCTCCACTGCAGCTGCACATGTGAAGCTTGTTTCACCAAAAAAGATCAGTGCTTTCAGCCTTCTCCGACCGCAAAATGGAGAATTCCGACATACCCACGTTGCCAAACCAAGTCTCTTCTGCAAATAATCCGCCGCTCAAGCACCACCACCACAGCTGCAGCGACGGGGACGTTCTCACCGCCGTCGCCAGGGCTTTCACGGACAACAAAGAGAACAATCATACTAATACTAGCTGCTGCGACAACAACGACAAGGAGAATTCTGTTCCTTTTGGGGGGAACTTGAATTCGAATTCAAAGTCTTTGTCGTCTTCCACCAACGGCTCTCTAGTTTTGCAGCAGCAGAAGAAGTGTCTGTCTACAGGGAGGGTTCTGAAGCCTTCGTCTTCGACACTGCAGATGTGTATGCAGATGAATGAGCCGGATCGAGCTTTCAAGTCCAACAAGATGATTTGGGATGCTTCCCCATGTGCTCAATCCGACCACTCTTCCTCTTTGAACATTTGGGACTACTCCGATTCCGAGGCTGCCCCTGCTTCGTCTTGGTCCACATTGCCCAACAGGTAGCATCTTTTCTTTTCTCAATCAGATCATTGTTTTTGTTGTTGTTGTTGTTGTTGTTGTTTTGTTCCCAGTTTAGTTGTCTAAACTCCATGGATTCCTTTCTCTTTTCCAGGGCTCTGTTGTGCAGGCCATTGCCATTGGATGTTGGGAAATGCACTTGCCTCATAGTGAAAGAAGCTTCTACAGACGGTTTAGGTGGTGGCACTCTCTATTCCCTATATACCAATGTAAGGATGCCTCTTTGGCTGCTTGAGGTCTTTTGGTATATGTTTTTTTAGTGATGTGGAGATTAGGATTCATGGGAGATTCTTTGTTGTTTACCAACTTTTAGGAAGGGTATGGGAGGCAGGATAGGAAACTGGCGATAGCCCACCATAGGCGCCATGGTGGGAGGTCTGAATTTATCATAGCGCACAAAATGAAGGGACTTGTATCCTGTTCAGATGAGAGTTTTGTTGGGAATGTGACAGCTAACCTCTTGGGTTCCAAGTACCACATTTGGAATCAGAATCAGGTTTCAATATTTCTCTTCTAAAATGCTTAAAGGCGGAATCTTCATGTTGCCACCATGTGTGTTGTGTTATGCTAATTGAGGACATTCTGATTTGCAGCTTGGCTCTGCCAATTGTTCAAAGAAACCACTTCTTGGTGTAATCACGTAAGGAAGACTCTACTCAAGACCCAACTCCTCTGCTCTTTGAACTCCCCCATTTGGCCTGATATAGTCCTTCGCCTTTCTGGTTTCTGTTTCTGAAGGTTTGTACCCACTATTGGCACCTGGACTGGAAGCTACAGAAGAATGAAAGCGTACATTCCCAAGCATCACTCTATGCAGCTAAAGAACACTACTCAGGTGAGTTGGGAGGTGGAATATGATGAATGAGTCATCTAACTGCTGCAATGTGAACCACATTTGTATTATAGTTACAGATGTTCTTTGCTTTGATCAGGTGCAGCACGTCAATGGTCTGCCAAATGACTGGGAGGAGAGAAGGAACAAAGTGAACAAGCTGCATTCGAGGACGCCTCGCTACAACAATGTGAGTTTTATTGTTATGAGATGATATTGACTATGAATGCAGTTTTAGGAGTTGAGTTATATATTGAAGTGAGACATTGGATTTCTTGATCAGGTAACGAAACAATATGAGTTGGACTTTAGAGACAAGGGAAGAGCTGGGCTTAAGATCCAAAGCTCAGTGAAGAACTTCCAGTTGACATTAGAGGTACAATACGGAAACAGTTTGAAGAAGAGTTTTCGCTAGTAGTGATGGCTTAGTCTTGTGAATGGTTGGGTCTTGCTATGTTTCAGGAAAATGGGAAGCAGATAATTTTGCAGCTTGGAAGGGTAGGAAAATCCAAGTTTGTGATGGATTTCAGGTAATTTCATTTGGCTTCTTGCATGCAAATTACTACTTAGCTAAGGTATTGACACAATCTTATAAGAACAAGGTATTGACAGAAGGTGTGTTCATTTTCTTTTCTACTGCCATCATTTTGCAGATATCCACTCAATGGCTACCAAGCTTTCTGCATATGCTTGGCTTCAATCGATTCAAAACTGTGCTGTGCAGTTTGATTATCACAAGTTTAAGTATTTTGCTGCCCCTTCTCAATGACTAGTTGACTAAAAGATGAGACTGGATAGACCAAAAACAACTAAAAGAAACAGGCCAAACTAGCTACGCCATCAACCTTGTAGGACACTGGAAGGGAATCTTTGTTACATCTGGATCATTCTGCCTCCATTATCTGACATTATTGTAGCTTTTAACTTCGAAAAGTTCTCTTAGTTTGTCTGTTTCAGTATCGATTTCTTCTGCTATCGTCCGTATCAAGTGTTATCAGAACAACCATTGCGAATCTCAATGCCAATATCTGTCATTGTACAGGAATTTCAATCCCATTGTAGTGTTTGTAAGAGGAAAGACTTTCCATTCAGTAATATTTCCCTTCCCATAAAGCTTCTCACGGCTAAAAAATAAGGGAGAAAAGATCTATCTAGTACATGTACAATTCCTATAAACTATCTGTACAAAAAATTGAAGTATATCATCTTGATTCCTTCAGTCATACTTCACCGTGATCAACTCAAGTCTGAAGTCATAGAAATGAAAATTTCTTCCCGGCAAGGAATTGTCAAACCACCCATTGGATGATCAAAACCAAATTCTTCTTCAGCCATACTCAACAGGTCCTGAAATGCAGGCCGGCTCAAATACGACAGTGGTACTACAAACCGCTTCCTCAGTGACGACTCTCCCACATATACTGCCAAGTAACCCTTTGGCACATCTTGAAACCTTGAAGATGATGATTTGCTAGAACCGGAACTGGACCGTCTAAGAATTTGCTTGGCAACTTTTCCTGGCAATCCAATAGCCATGATCCTTACTTTTTGTTGGATGAACTTGTGGTACTGAAAGAGCTGAAGAGAGCAGATCTCACTGGACAGTTGAAAGACTTGACAAACTTTGTGCTGGTTGCAATTTGTGAATTGAGCAGCTACAATAACACCCTTTATATAGATAAATATTCCAGGCTTCCCATCTACAACTCAAAACAACCAAAATCAATATTGGGACATGGTTCAGGCAGTGTCACATGCTCTTGCCTTGCTGATGATGCAACAAAAATGCAGGGGGACCATTGGAGGGTAACCTACAGCATGGATGGCCACATCTATGTATTGTTCGTATGGTGGAAGCTTGATGCCGAATTCACGTGGACCTGCCTTGTAACCAGAGCACATAAGTGAGTGAGATAAGGGGTATCCTGTCCTACAACAACCACACAGAATGCCCTGTAACACCTTCTCATCTATATCGGATGTCTGGGACTTGCCCTATAAGTTTTGAGGTAGATGTGAATAGAATTGTCGCTTTCAGTTAAGACACTTGCTGAAACAGTTAGTCAGGCAAAAAGGATGGAAGCTTCTAAAATTTCAAGAAACAGGAATCAAGTGATTACCATATTTGATTAACAGTAATAATTCCTAGTTCAATTAGTGCACATACCTGTTCAGGTCATCAGGGTAAGAAACTACTATTTGGGCCACTCTCCTGTTTTTTGACACGATGGTAGAAAGGTTTTGCATTGGAATATTTGCGAAGAAGTAGATCTTCACAGGAGTATCAGTGGCAACTGAAGATGAGGATCATGCTTATATTTTACACAAGGAACAATTTAGCTTCTTTCAAAATTAGTTGGCGTCAGATGAAAAATGTAAATGGTAGGTAGAGATAAACAGCACAGTGAGCAAGAAAAGCTTCTATTCATATAAAGAAAGTTTCAACAATTTGCAGAATGCAGAGGCAATCATAAGTGTATAAAATTCAGCTGAAATTGCAGAGAAGAGAAGCTCCATCGCTACATTCACAACAATATCCGTCATATACAAAGTTGTGGTTCTTCATCTCGACTTCTTCAACCCATCTGGTCTTGATGGTCTGCTGAGGTTTGAAGTAGCAGAAATGAAAGCTTTTACCTGCAGGGAATAATCACGCCCGCCACGGCACCCATAGGATGATCAAAACCAAATTCCACTTCAGCCGTACTAAACAAGTCCTGAAATAAAGGGTGGCTCTAGTACGAAAATGGTACTACAAACCGCTTCTTGTCATGTGTCTCTAAAGAACTTGAATCATAACTAAGGTTAATAGAACAAACAGAATAACATTCAGATTATAGCATTGGAGAAGCATGCCAAAATCAACGAACCTAAAGGTCAGGCATTCGAGAAGGAATTCAAAAAGCAGGTAGCGGGATTCGAGAAAGACCCCGGGGATTTGACCCATGCCAAAATCCAACAAGAACAAAAGCCATTCGTGCACAAGAGGCCTTACGAAGATATTAACAAAACTGGTGAAGAGATTGTAGTAATTAGAGACCGTAACAAAGTGCGAGTGGAAGAACTAGCGACTCTACTTGATCTGGATAAAAAAATGACGGAAAAGACGCGAAATTTTAACAAGTACACACTCTAAGGATTTAGACATAAATTTCTTTGTGCTATATACAAGTGGGTGCAAAATAAGATACTAATGCAAAACAAGCCACATGTGTGCCCTGGCCAAAAGATGAAAATACATAAGCAGTGAGATCTATAATCGACAGTGAAGTTCTCCTCACGGTAATCATATCTGCTTTGAACATTTCAGTGTAGAAAGAGTAGTAGTAGCCTGATGATGCCGCCAGTCAATATGCCCGGCATCATCATGCTGGAGCATTCCACCCAATCATATTCATATAGCGCTTCATCCTCCTAACTGGGTCTAAAATCAGTGTGGATGAAAAGGCAGATCTTTTACTTGACAAACTGAATGAACAGTTCTTGGGAACTTAAAAGTTGCGCTAATTACAACAAAGCAAATACAGAAACAAAACTCACCTCCTCCATAGAAGGGAAGAAGAAAAAACAAGTCTCTACAGAACTCTCCCATCCATGCCATCAAGAAGACCTGACCACATTCCTTTCACCGGCGGCAACTGGGCAACAAATGCATTCCAAGGAGGGTACCCTACACCACTACCCCGCACCCGCCCATCCAATCGCAGCGACAAGTACCTACAGGCAGAATCACAAGCAACGTCCGTTACAACATTTGACATGCCAGCAATCTGTGATCCACAACTCAAAATGGTGAAAGATCAACAACAAGGGGGCATACACAGGAGATTCCTTGGAGACTCCGGCCCTCTTCTTTTGATCATCTAACCATCTGCCAAGTTTTGCAGCAACATTCTTTCACCAACAGAAAAGAAGGACAATGACATGAAACAACAAATTGGTGCAACTGCCAGACTCTTCAATCTACCAACTATTTGTCTTTATGGAGTTACTATGGATGGACTGACTTGAAACAAAACCAAGTAAAGAAATTGAGAACTGATTATATATTCAGTAGTATCATTCCATACTTGGACCATTCGTTGGCATAGACGGGAGCGAGCTGCCAGAGCCTCTTCCTCTTGGCCGTGACCTCCTCATTCTCGTCAAACTCAAATGCAGGCAACTCCCCATCAGTAGGGAAAGGCACCACAAGCACCCCTCTTTCAAGAAGCCCCTCAGTGAAAGGCTCACTGAGCCTAAAAGCCTCGGCAATGAACGATGCAGGGCCAGCACATATCACAAGCCTTACAAACCCTCTCAACGAGCTCACGGGTATAGTCCTCCTCTCGTCGATCCTAAGCTTGAGCTTCGAAAGCCCTTCCTCCCTAGAAAGCCTAGCCAGTTGAGCATTTCTAGCGCTGTCCTCTCTCAAGTAAAGGAATGCGAAAATCGACACCGCTGCAATGTCTATGCCGAGGCCTTTCACAATCTCAGGGACTTCGGCGGCTCTCGATGCATTCGCCAGCGCCCCAATCAGCCTGCTCGTTGCGATCAGTCCCCCCAGAGAGCCACTGGCGATGAAGGCGAGGTAAAAGAACATCCTCACGGCCCGAAATGGGGCTAGCACTTCGCCCCTTATCTTGGTTCCAGAGCTGAACAAAGAATATCAATCGAACTCATTTTAGCTCGCTTTAATTTCACAATTCTATGGCTCTGTCCAGATTAGTCATCCATTTGGTTTCCTATTTGTGGCCTAGCTAGCTGACCCTGGTTACCGGGAAAAAAAGTAAGAGAGGGAATCAGTTGCGCACCTCACTTCGTCGGAAGAACAGCGGATTACAGTAGAACGGCGATTACGCATTTCATAGACTCGGGCCAAGTGTATTACTGTATTTGAATCAGGGCGCCGGAACGACGGCCGCGACGGATTGATGACACTATATCTGGAAAAGCATAGGCAGCTGCTGCCGCTGTTGTTATTTTCGTAAATGGGTCCGATTACGCTGCGAGAGGCTTGAGCCATGAACGAAGCCATGGCTATGGCCACTTGCAGCTTGGAGGCAGCTAGTTCAGAGGAACTGGAACCAGAAGCGAGCACTTGGAAGGAAAGGCATAGGGAAAGCGAAGTGTCTTTTTCTTCTGCCGGTGGGTAATATTTCTTTCGCTGCCGTTGCTTCTTCCAACTGTGTTGAATTGAATGATCAACGTAGCGCCACGCTTATTGCTTTCTTTTATGGGCCAACCGACAATTATTGGGCCGGACTATGAAATAATGTCCATTTCCTTCCCTCGCTGTAATTGGGCCGGACTATGATATTATTCATTTCCTTCCCTCGTTGTTGCTGTAAACAACGTTATCGTTTGCCATTTTGCTCATTTATAGCTACATTTGGGAAAAATTCTCAAAGTACATTAGTTCTTAAAAAAAATTCAAAATACATAAGTTATAAAAAAATTTCCAAAACTACACATGTTTGGCATTCACCGTTTTTGACAAATGCAGTGAAGACTACCGCGTTTGACAAACATGGTGAATATTTCACCGCTTAAAAAAAAACCGGTGAAGATATCACCGTTTTAGTTAAAAACGGTGAATATGTCACCGTTTTAGGGCAACACGGTGAATACCTTCACCGTTCTAGGTTAAAACAGTGAGTATTTGACATGTGCACCTTTGAACTAACTTATCTCACTCGTTTGGACTCGGAATTGAGATCTGTAAAATTCTACGTGATCGTACCAACTTTTTCGTGTTGAGCTTAGATACTAATTCTTGATAAATTGATCCAGAATATTCATACTTGAAATGTCATCAATAAAGTGTTTCAATGACAACTTAAGTGCGTAGGTTAGTTTTTAGACAATGCAAACTCAAATCACAAGACCTAAAATTTTTAAAAACAACATGGATAGTTCAACGACAATGCAAACTCAAATTACAAGACCGAAAAATTCAAATAAACGCGGATAGTTCACTGCAATGACAAAACACTAGAATAATCAAAGAAAGCACGAATAGTTCACTGGTTTTCTTCATTTGGTTGCCCCTCATTTTGGCCCCCAGCTCGCCCTCCTCCTCGTCCTCCACGACGTCCTCGACCCCTTCTTCCACCTCCTCCTTCTGCTTCTTGGCGGGCTCGCTCAACGACTTGTCGCGGATGTCTCTTAATTCGAGCCCCTACTAGAGTTACAAGTGGCGGTGGAGGTTGCTGAGATGGACCGGTAGCGTGCTGGTAGATCGGGCGGTGAGGGGTTTGTTGATGCTGGGTGTGATACATCGAACTCTGTTGCTGATGGTGGAAATGAGAGAAATTATATGGTTCCTGAGATGAACCTCCAGCGACATCCGGTGCAGGTGCCCACTCGTACTCAAATGGTTCAGGGAGCTCGGTTTCTTGAGTTGTACGCACCTCTTCGAAAGTAGGCAGAGGTCTGCGTTTGCTCTTTCGTGGGGGCTCAACCGGGGGCACAATGGGCTCACCATCACGGAATGATGGGCGTGCCGGAGCGGGAATGGGAGGATAGGCCACGACATCCCTCCTTTGCTCTCGGGTACAACTCAAGAGGTTGTTCATAAGCCTTCGCAGCCAAGAAGTTTTGCGCTCATCCATGGTTGGAGCACTATCGAGGGTGTGTTTGGCGTGTTCCAAACCATCAACCTAAGCAATCCACATAATAAAACAAAATTAATTAAACCTTAAAACAAAATAATTAGACTCACGAGGGAGATTAGGATGACTTACCAACGAACCCATCACATCACTTTGGTTTGACACCCATCTATTGGTGAACTTCCGATATCACTGCCTGTACCCATCGGTCTCGTCTCCGACATCCCTTGGACCACCCATGTCCCTCTATTCTCCCATATTTTGATGTAGTACTAATGCTTTAGGATCCAATTCTTTGAAGCGTGTCGGAGGTCGATGGCATGTAGCTCCCTGAAACCTTGAGGCAGGGTTTGTGGAATTGGTTGCTCCATTCGATATTGCCTCAATGATCGATCGGGTAGGTGCCACTCCACGACGTGCCAACAGATCAATGGCACCTTGCACAACCACGTCTCGTGATCCAGAGGGTTTCTAATATGATGCAGTTCGACCACTTCACGTGGATATGGATCCCAATTAACCTATATTCATTCAAATAATGCAATTAGCGACCATTTACATTGAAAAACCTTAACTTGTTAAAATATGATAAAACATGATTACCTGATTCCACCAAGGCTTATCTAACTCAGAACGATAAAACAGTAACAAATGCTCAGGTTGATGGTCATTCGTATTTGCTCCTATCCACCTTGTAAGTAAAAGCATGGAATAAATTTAAATTAGGCTAAGTACGGATCAAATTCAATTTAAATCTAGCTAAGCATGTAATAAATTTAAATTAGGCTAAGTACGGAATAAATTCAATTTAAATCTAGCTAAGCATGGAATAATTTTAAATTAGGCTAAGTACGGAATAAATTCAATTTAAATCTAGCTAAGCATGGAATAATTTTAAATTAGGCTAAGTACGAAATAAATTCAATTTAAATATAGCTAAGCATGAAATCATTTTAAATTAGGCTAAGTACGGAATAAACTTACTTGACACCGTAGGGGGGATTTTGCAGAAAGTTTAGCTCATCATTGGCTCTCCGGTATGGACGTGGGTCTAGAGGTGCGAATATTGGAAGATGCTCTCATACCCACGGCTGTAGGATAAACATCGCAACACCAGCTTGTTTTGCTCCCAGCTTCGAGCAAGTGCACGACTTCCGGTATAGGCCAGCTAACACGGCCGATCCCCAGCTCTTTTCCCCGATTGCGTCCCAGTCACCAGTGAGCAATGGCAACCATATGCCTTGAATCCACCGGTTTGACTTGTCGGGGAACAAAAATACATCCACCAAACCAATGAGGTAGATGCGTGCATAGCGCTCCACTTGATCTTCCGGAGTCTCGTCATTGATTTCCACCTCATTTTGGATGTGAGTTACAAGCCACGGGATCGACACTTGTCCCGCATTCAACGGTGGATGCCTCCGTCCTTGAATTGGTGTGGTGGTCGGCATGTCAAAGCCCAAACTATCCCGAATGAGCGGCCCCCAACCTCCTTTGGGTTTGGTAGTGGAACCAATGATGGCATCTCCAGAAATCGGCATCCCGGTGAGGATCGCCACGTCTTTGAGGGTGATCGTCATTTCCCCCTCCGGAAGGTGGAACGTATGGGTTTCGGGACGCCATCGCTCCGCCATTGCTGTAAGCAGATCTTTGTCGATTTCGATTCACATGAAATGACGCAACATACCCAACCCGGTCCTCTCTATATAGGGTGCCAACCGTGGATGTCAAGCGGGCAAGTTTGTGGTCCCTTTATGAACAATGGGAATAAGTGATTCCTTCAATAAATAGGAAAAACATCAATTTGTTAGTTTAAATAAAGCAAAATAAAACCTTAGAAAACAATAAAATACAGCAAATAAATCATCAAATTACCGGATTGTTATCCCAAATAGCACGGGAGCGATGAGCTTCTTGATCGGTTAAGAGTCTCATATCTCTTGGCCCATAATGGATATACAATCGAGGATCGTATATCTCGGCACCCATCTATAAAAAAAGTAATGAAATCAGAGATTGTTTTGATAAAAAAAATCACAAAATAAAATTGTTTCGATTAAAAAAAACACACAAAAAAAAAACAAAAACCTACACGAAGAGCCTCTTCGTCCATTTTTTGGCAGAAGCCGGACAGAGGTTCGACGGGTTTGGGTTTGTAAGGGACGGGAGCTTAGCAGGACGGGGGCTTTAGGGTCAAACTCTAGTAATTCTTTATGACATGGAAGATCGGACTTATCCGCAACCACAGAGCATACTTAAAACGAGACTAGAGCGGATAAATTGAGGGAGAAAGAAGAATAATTGCTGTGGTGTGATTTGTAAGTGGGGGAAAGGGTCTATTTATAGTTGGGAAGGGAGGGGCTGAGCAGATTAATGGGGAGCATTCACTGCGTCCCTCAATGGCGGTGAATGCATCGCCTTTCCCAAAACCGGTTCCTGACGCGGATCGAGCAGACGTGGCGTGCTGTGAGGCGCCAGATCTGGGAAGAAAACCACGATCCGCGCATCACCGCATCCAACGGCCACGGTGAGTGGGTCAGCGACGCGGATCGCTAACGCAAATAAACACGTGGTATTCACCGTGTTTGTCTAACGCGGTGAATACACCGCGTTTGTCCACGTCAGCAATCCGCATCGCTTCATCGTGGCAAACAAAAGCGGTTTAATATACACCGCGTTTAATTAAAACGGTGATCTATTCACCGTTTGTCTCTAAAACGGTGATTGACTCACTCGTTGTTCACCATTTTAGAGAACAACGGTGAATATGTCACCGTTTTTTTTAAATGGTGAAATATTCACCGTCTTTGTCAAACGCGGTGATAGGCTTCACTGCGTTTGTCAAAAACGGTAAATGCCAAACATGTGTACTTTGTGAAATTTTTTTATAACTTATGTATTTTAGGAATTTTTTTTAAGAACATGTGTACAGTGGGATTTTTCCGCTGAATTTGAGCTACGTTTCTTATTCAATTCGCGAGTGAGAGGTTACGGTGCTAAATTCATAGCAGTTAGCACAGTGCTAGGTGCTAAATTCATCACGGTTCATTATTTTAAAGTGAATCAAACGGTGGAGTGGAGTGTAGTGGAGGGTATATTAGGCAATTTAAAAAAAATTATTAAAATTAAAATTTTGAAATATCAATTCTCTCTCTAGTAGAGATGATACGTAAACAAATAAACTGTTAAAAAAGTACTACTACTAAAATCAGTAGTGATTTTAGTGTATAGCCGCTATTATAAATTTCTTATAGTGGTTTTATTATTGTTAGTAGTGATTTTATTATTATCAGTAACATTTTTAATTATTAGTAATTAATAACTTTTACAAAAAGACTACCGAAAATGAAGAGAATGCAACAATTTGACAAGTATCACTATAAAACATTATACTAATAATTACCAAATATCAATACTCATTATTATATATATAAAATTACTAATACATATAAAATCACTACTACCAAAATCACTACTAAAAACAATAAAAATCACGCCTGTCACTTTCCAAAATCGCTACGAAAATCACTACTACCAATATCAGCAAGCCAACTGCTTCCCTCAATATCTTGGATCTGAAAACAGCACTGTCGATGCTTTCCCTTACCCACTTCCGCTGCTTCCCTCTCCCGCCGCCGCTCTTTCAATGGAGGATTCCCCCAACGTCTTTGTCGGTCTCGTCTTCATCTTCTCCAAGCTATCGGATGCGGACTCGGAAGACGACACTCATATCATGCTGCACAACAAGCTTCGACATCGATTTTGAGTTTCACATCTACCAGCGGTGACGACTAAAATCAGAGGCGAAGGATGGAAGATCCCCACATCAACACCTCTTCCAATGGAGGATTCCCCCACCAACAGTGACGACTCGAAGCATCGGCAAAGGACGGAGGAGACGCTAGTGTGGAAGCAATAGCAGGTCGGAATCCTTGATGGTGGTGTTTTTGGGGGGTTCGATGGATCTGATAGAGAGAGGAAGAACGACGGTTCATTTTGGTCCAGAGATAGAGAGAGGAGAGAGGGGAGTGTGGGTGGCTGTAGCATGTGGGAGTGGGGAGGGATGAGTGGAGACCATTTATATTAGGGTTACTATATTGTCTTTCAATGAATTCCGATCATAGGATTGTTAATTTAATCTAATGAATGCTATAGAAGTTAGCATGGTACTAAGTACTAACCCTATAGAGGGTTAGCAACACAACTCATCCCAATTCGCGAGACTTACGAACCAACTCAAATGAGTAGTTAGTTAAGCTTAGCTCGAGCTCATATACTCAAGGAAAGAAACTCGTTATCGCCAATTACACAATCAAACGATATGTAAGCTACGAGCAACAATAAATGCAAAAACTGTCTTTAAAAATAGAAATTAATACATGCCGCCTGACATAGTGTTTATAAGAGAAAAACTTTTTCTTTCAATATTGTCCTTCCCACAAAAGCTTGTTACGGCAAAAAAGAAATGGAGAGAAGCTCTATCTAATACATGTACAATTCCTATCATATATATCTATACAAAATTTGTGGTTCGTCATCTTTCATTCCTTCAATCAATTCAGGTTTGAAGTGACAAAAATGAAAGTTTCTTCCCGGCAAGGAATTGTCAAGCCACCCATTGGATGATCGAATCCAAACTCCTCTTCAGCCATTCTCAATAGGTCCTGAAAGGAAGGCTGGCTCAAATATGAAACTGGCACTACAAACCGCTTCCTTTGTGACTCGCCAGCATATACTGCCAAGTAACCCCTTTGACACATCAGGAAACCTTGATGAAGATGGTGATTTGTTTGGGCCGCCGGAACCAGAACGTCGAAGAATTTGCTTAGCAATTTTTCCTGGAAACCCAATAGCCATGGTCTTCTCTTTAGCTGGATGAACTTGTGGTGTTGTAAGAGCTGATGACAAAAGATCTCACTGAACAATTGGGAGACTTGAAATGTTCTGTGTTGGTTGTGATTTGTGAATTAAGCAACTACTATAAGACCCTTTATATAGATTAAGTATTCCAGACTTCTCATCTACAACTCAGAACCAAAACTAATATTTGGGACACATTTCAGGCAATCTCACATATTCTTGCCTTGCCAACGATGGAACAAAATGCAGGGGGAACATTGGAAGTACCCTAAAGTTAGAGGGCTGGCTATGGAGAGCCACATAATGTTATATCTCTATTGATGGTATGGTGAAGTTTACTGTCGAATCTAGGTAGGAGACAAGTCTTAGGCAAACAACTTGTGTATTTATCATAGCAGTGCATTAAGACAATTAAATCCATGCCTTATGGCCCTGCCCTCTAACTACAACACATATGGGAGGAAGATGGGATGTATCAATTAAGGTGTATCATGTCCTACAACAGCCACACATAGAGACATGTGACATCTTGGCGTCGATATATGATGTTTGGGACTTTGCCTTACAAGTTTTGAGGTACATGTGAATTGAATCGTCAATCTCTGTTATGCACTTGTCGAGATAATATAAATATATTACGAGGTTGTGGCACTTGTCGAAACAATGTAGATATATCACGAGGCTATGTCAGACACAGAAAATGGAATGTTAGGATTGTTGAAGAAACATAGATGAATGTATAATATTCTATGATTGCTAATGCCATTTTCTTGACCTTGTTTCTCAACCTTTGACATGGATTATTAGCTAGATAAACATGCTTATTGTAGGGCCCTCGTTTGAATATTTTGTGACTCACAATGATTCTTAGCCTCTGGTCTAATATTCAACCGAAGATTACTTTTCCCATCTTATAAGTTAGTTAATACTTCAATAAACCATTTTTGACAAATCACTCATTACGAAATATAGTTTTCGAATAAGGTTTTCAAGCCAAGTTTTTTTTTTAAATCAAATCCTATCTAATGTTAATTTGTCATGATGGCACTTGTTATGTTGATTCCGTCTAATTAAATATCATATTTAATTGGACGGTAGGACCTAACAGTCAATTAATTAATAGTGGAATCTTTTTCACGGTTCCTTACAAGATAATCGGGATGGGATGGGATGCTAACTAGCAACTAAATTAGCACGATACTAAATAATTATATCATCGTTCCTTTATGTTTCTGTAAATCTAAGAGTTACTTTGTTATAAGGGTATGCCTACAAGTGATCCCAGCTTTGGGAAGCGGTATTTGGGGAGAAGTCCAACCGCCCCTCTCTTTCCTCCATTTCATTTTTTTTCTCTTTTCTTCTCTAGCCATATCTCTCTCTCTCTCTCTCTCTCTCTCTCTCTCTCTCTCTCTCTCTCTCTCTCTTTCCCTAGCAGAGCGATCCATCATAACATTAAACGGCCTCGCCGTCGCCGTCGTCCTCACCTCCCTTGCCTGTGGTCGTCTCCTGTATCGGCTTCCCTTGCATGGCCGTCATCTGCTACAGCCTCACCTCCATCGCTATCGTTTGCATCGGTGCGACCTCCGCCCCCTCGTCAGTGTCGGCGTCTACATAAACCATCAAACCTCCGTGAAGCACGTGTTAGAAATATGGGGTATTATTATGTAATTGTATTAAATATGGAGTATGGATATGGAAGTTTGGAGGCTAGGGTTCGGCTAGTATATATATGTAGAATAGTCGAACCATTCATGTAAGTTGTACGTGGAATAAGATCATCATCTGTCGTTGTGTCGTGGACTAGTCTCAACGTCAATCGTTGAGGAAACCACGTAAATCTCGCTTCTCGTGTTCATCTCGTATTTTTGTTTGTGTGATTATTGACATGGTATCAGAGCCTCCGTGTGGTTATATGCTTTATGGTTTCAGGTTCTTCCAAATTGCGTGCTCGTGCATCCTTGCTTTTGTGTCTCAAGTCTCAAGTTCCTGCCGTGTCTTGTTGTTGAGAGTTCCTTGTTGGAGGACGTTCTCGGTGAGTTGATAATATTAGTTCAGCCTCTTCTTGACATTATGGATGGATCCAAGACCGACATCATTGTTGTACATTTCACAGGTAAGAACTTTGCCCTCTGGGAATTGCAATTTCGGCTTCATGTCCAAGGCCGTCGCCTTTTGCCTATCCTTGACGACACATTGGCTACTCCTCCTGATACAGCTCCCCAGAAGGAGCAAGACAATTGGGCAGCTAATTTGCCACCGTGATGTACTGGTTGGTTGAGCTGGGCATTGCTCTAAGTCTGCGTAGCTTCAACACAGCGTCTCCTATATGGAAGCGTCTTTAGGATATGTACTCCAAGGCAAGTGCTTCGAGAAAATTTGACGTTGAGCATGATCTTGGAGCCTTGCGTCAAGGTGATCTCGATGTTAGCTCGTATTATCAGGTTGCCGTAACTTTGTGGACAGAGCAGGATTTGATCATGTACTCGTTTGTTTCTTCGACGGCGTAGGCTGAGGTTCTTCGTGAACATACTAGCTCTCGGGTCATGAGGTTTTTTATGCATCTTCGTCCTGAATTTGAGAGTATTCGTTCGTCTCTCCTGCATCATGATATCACGGGTGTCGACGAGGTCTTGTCTGAGTTGTTGAGAGAGGAAACTCGCTTGCGTAGTCAAGCTAAGCTTGATATTCATGCTTCTGAGTCTGGTTCTGCCTTTGCGGTTCACTCCGGTAAGCCGCAATTTCATCGAACTCCATCCGGTGAGATTATTTTTCATTTCTGCAAGGAACTGGGCAATATTTAGTTTCATTGCAAGAAGCGGAATACATGTAATTATTTTAATTTGATGGTCACCTGATTGCGAATTATCCGACTCTTGCATAACGGGGCCGTGGCCGGGGAGGGAGATTTCGTGGAGGACCCCGTTCCTCTTCTACGGGCAGTGCTTATGCGACTATCGCTATCCCTCATAACCCAGTTGCTACCTCGTCTGGACTGACTTCGGACGATGTTCGTCGTCTTGTTCAGGAGGCCCTGAAAGAGACTCTTCCAACAGCTCTGACCTCGGCTTTTGCAACTAGTACCTTCCAATCATATGACTAGTACTCAAGGTGCATTCTAGAGATTAAATAATACAGTCGCTAGTCTTGATTTAAAAGCTGTCTATGGAACTCGAATGCAAGTTAAGGGTGTTGGTAATGTAGTTCAGCCACGTTTCTCTCTTCCGAATACATTTTATGTGCCGAAACTAGCTACTAGTCATATTTTTGTGGGTCAGTTGGCTGAAGAAGGGTGTCGAATTATTTTTTATACACATGGGTGTCTTGTGCAGGACATGAGAACGAGGATGGAGATCGGGCGATGTAGTAAGCAGGGTCGGGTGTTCATGTTGGATCAATATTCTCGAGCTCCCACAACTGCTAGTAGAGATGATGGGACGTGTATTGCGGTAGCGAAAAGAGTGACGAGGGTTGACATCTAGCTTGGAGGTCGTGACGAGTCAAAGGGCATGATGCCAAACTTTTGCATTCTAGGAATTGTAGGAATTGTTCTGTTTATTCAATACAATTGTCAGATTGGGATTTGTGGCATTTTCGTTTGTGACATCTCATTCTGTCACATTGCGGCCTGCCCGTGTGGTCGGGAATTTCTGGGTTTTAACCCAAATTCGAGCCAAAGGAGAGGGAATGGACTTTTTGGAGCAAAAATAGAGCCCTAGAGAGAGAAAGTGAGAAGAACACCTCCTAAGAGTGGTTTTGGAGCTGGGTTTCATCAATCAAGCTTGGAAATCATCATTGGAGTGAAGATCATCATCCCGGAGCAGATTCTTCCCATCTTGATGAGTATGACTGCTTTGTTTGTTGTTTTCCCCTCTCTCTCTATGGAGTAGAACCCTCTCTCACTTGGGTATGAAGAACCCTAGTTCCAAGTGTTAGGAATTTTGATTGTAATGACTTGGGATTGTTATACTGTTTGATTTTAATCGATTGATGCATGATTCATTGAGTCCATTGAAGTCTGATCATCTTTTCTTGATTTCTGCTGCAACCTGAGATAGATAGAATCTGATTAGGTTGTTAGAGCTTCATCAATCGGTAGTGGTAGATTGGTTATACGAGAGTTAATCAATTTGCTGCTTTGCACTAGAACCCAATTCCACTAGTGAAGTTCTGTGCTTATTGCCTCAGCAGTCTATCCCGGTGAAGGTTAGTCGCCTGCCGGTTAGCCTGCCTGAGAGGGCTTGGTCAGCTTAAGAGATTCCAAGCTACTGTCGGATTTTCCGCAGTTTAATCAATAGTTAATCAACCCATGGTAATTACAACCTCGGCCTAACTAAGGAGCTAGGGGGACTCATTCCCGAGTGACTCTTCCCTTGCTAAAGAACTTTGAACCATTTCTTGCTTTTTAGTGCTTTTAGTTAAAATCACAATCACTCGACTTAGTTTGCTAGATAATAGATAATCACGGAGTAGTCAGTAGATCTAGACCCCGGGTTGACAAATAGGGTTGCCACTTACTGCATTTCCGGATTGCGATTACACTTGGTCGCAGTTTGGTGTTGTGTTTTAGCGTGTCACTACACAATTTGGTCATTAAGATATTCAAGTTGAATCCAGATGGAGAGTTCAGCTGAAATACTTTATGGGCATTGTTTAAAGCACGTGGAATTCTTGCTCAACAATCTTGTCCTAGTGTCTCACAACAGAACGGGTTTGTTGAAAGGAAGCATCGTCATGTGCTGGAACTAAAACGTGCTATGTTATTTCATTCACAAGTTCCAGCCATGTTCTGGGTTGAAGCGGTTCATACGATAGTGTACTTAATCAATCGTTAGATTACTCTGATTCTACAACATCATAGTCCATATCATGTCCTCTACGATGGACTACCCAACTATAAGTGGCTGCGAGTCTTTGGTTGTGTTTGTTATGTCTTGTTATCGAAGAGGAAGAGGACTAAGCTAACGCCGAAGGCAATCAAGTGTGTGTTTGTGGGATAT